ACTTGAATAACTGATGCATTCATACTTTTGAGTTCAGAATCGTATACTGTCCCTGAAGTAGTTCGGTATTAAAATGACTGTATATGGCTCCATTTATACACAAAAATATGAACAGATATAATTAAATAGTGTTCATGTCGTACACTCTTTGATCACAGAAAAAAGCAAGTAGGCCTACCAAAAGTTCCCCTTGATTTGCATCAAGTAAAAACATGTGGTTCTTGCTTATAATAGGTTTGCTGCTGACTATTTGACAGTATAGTAATATTCCTTCAGTTAGTTATATGAAAGAATAAAACTCAACAAAACGTTCTTAAAATGTAGGCTATATCACATCGCATGATATCTGACCATGCATTGCTGCAAACACTAGAACTGGCAAAAACAGAATAGAGTGTGTACAGAAAACTTGCCTTCTGGCGCTAATCTCCAACACACAGAAAAATAAAGACAGACTGAGACTGTGAATATAAGTGAACGAGAAATGTACAGATAAACATTTGAATTTAATAATTTTATTTTATTTTATACAAAGACATCAAATTGCCCCTTCTTGTAGGATCTGGAATATATTGAAAGAATGTTAAAAAATGGACAGCACTGAATTAGGAAAGTTTCAGCTTGCAGCATCTTTTTCGAGATCAGGGGCAATAGCAGAAGGAAACACACACACACACACACACACACACACACACACACTCACATATACACACATACACTAACACACACACACACACATATACACACACATACACACACACATATAATAATAACGGATTGCATTATATATAGCGCAAATCCACTTATGCAATGCTCTATGCGCTTAACATGAAATATGTTATGGATTTACAAATCAATTTTATAGGCACATAGTATTACATACACCTGCATACACAGATTCATGCACGCATGCACCCACACACAAATACACACATGAGAATGTTTCTGAGTGTTCTATAGTCTGCTGGGGTAATATATAGTGTAAAGCGCATAGGGCTTGCTTTCGAGTGGGGACATGCGCTATACAAATGTTACTTACTATTTACTACTATACACACATAGGAACATATGCACATACAAACTCACGACGATCTACAGCTTTGATGGATTCTGTCTAATCGAAATATGATGAAAATAGATATGCTTTTACTTTTAGTTTTTTCTTTAAAATTTCTAGATTTTCTGCTTCTCTAATAGTGATAGTTTTTGGAAGCCTATTCCAAACAAGTGGGACAAAATACGAAAAAGAGCTTTCATCATATGATTTGTAATTTATTTTAGGTTTAACAAGGGTTGTTTTGTCACATGATGATCTGAGAGTTCTTAGTGGTACATAGGGTGTTAAAAACTGTTTTAGGTAGTCAGGTGATAGATCATGTAAGCACTTGTAGCAAGTTAAACAGATTTTATATATGGTACGCTCTTTCCCCGGGACCAAGTATTGTTCTTTTAAAATAGGAGTCACATGATCATGCTAGTTTCTAAGTTATTATTTGGGCAGCAATATTTTGTACTCTTTGTTGTTGTTGTAACTGTTCATCAGGTACACCACCAAGTAAGGAATTGCAGTAATCAAGCTTTGACAAAATAAGTGATTTTATTAAAGTTTTGGTGACATCAACAGATAGATATTTTCTAATGATCCCTATTTACTTCAGTTGGAGATATAGATTTTTACAAAGATTGGATACATGGGATTTCATTGACATATCTTGATCTAACACTACACCTAATTTTTTAAAATTATAATTTGGGCTGATATTTCATGGCTTTTGATGTTTATACTGATATTGTCAATTTCATTGCATGCGTTGCTACGAATAAATAATGTTTCGGTCTTATTCTCATTTAATTTTAATTTGTTCTTGGGCATCCATTTTCTAATATCATTGAAACATCTGGTGATTCTATCTATGAGATTTTGTACATTGTCAGTATAGTAGTGAATCCATACAGCTGTGTATCATCTGCATAAAAATGATAATTGAGGGCATAATAATAAAAAGAAATTATTGATGACAGACTTTGTGTGTACATTGTAAAAATGACAGGACCAAGGGCTGAACCCTGAAGAACTCCATACTTTAGAGGTAACGTATCTGACACATCATTGCCAATTTTCACTGACATACACACATATGCACACACACACACACACACACACACACACAAACAAACAAGCATATATTTTGTTAGTACAATACGGAGTATAGACTTAAAAGCTCTCACTTGTGTGACATAAACAAAAGACGAGAGAAGGAGAGACTGAGGAAGCAGAATAAGTCCAGACTAAAGCAGTATTTAATTTATTTCTGCAAACATATAGCTCGTAAATCCAGTAAAAATGTAAAGAAAATGAAACTTGGCTTCATCCCATCACTTTCTTGAGGGTAGAGATTCAACAAAACTTCCATGTAAATGTTAATTGTACTATTCATTTGAACCTTGAACCTAGGCATTGCCCATCCACTGCAGGATGTGACCCTCCAACAGTGACCATTCTGTCTTATCCACTGCCCTCTATATCCAGGTTATACCTATCTGATCTCTGATGTCATCTTGCACCCTCATTCTGGTCTCCCTCTTGATCATTATCCTGTTTTTGATCTCCGTTAAATACATCTTTTCAGGAAGATATTTTCATTTTACAGATGTCACTAGCCCATTTCCATTTTTGTTGGAGTATAAATATGGGGATATCTGCACTCTTACAAAACATTACTCAACTAACATGTACATCAAAGGAGAACAAGACATATATATTATATAATAACTGCTTCCAAGAAAAGACAAAAGAAGGTGATTAAAATGAAGAATCAAAAACTGGTTTTTCTATTTTCTTCTTCCTCTTCTACTACATTTTTCTTGGTTTAATGGAGCAGTCAACTGAGGTAACAGAAACTTGAAGTGTAACTGATTTCTATGTACATGCTGCCAATTTGTGAGGCGTGCTGACAAAATGAGTTACTTCTTTAGGATTTTAGCCATATGGAAATTGATACATCAACTTTATGGGTGGAGTTTGTACAATTTGTGGGTATGGTATAATAAAACACACGGCAGAATTGAAGAAAATGGCATCAACTGAAAATCAATAAGTCTGACCCCAGTGTTGATTTTCGGCCGATATCTCCATTCTTGGATTGCGAGAAGTAACTCATTTTGTCAGCACGCCTCACATTTATTTTCTTACTAATGTGTATTGTCCATCACCTTTAGAGCTGCTGTATGCTATTTTCAAAAGATCGAGGGTTTTTGGAGGGTGCTACTCGTAGGTTGTACTCCTATACTTTGAGTCTGTTGGTTGTTTTTTTTCAGCTGCCTGTCTTGCTTTTTCACTGGACTAAAAGATTACATGCATTTTTTTGTGTCTGTAGGCTACTTTTCACCAAAACTTTCCCATGTCCTCATAATCAGAGTTTTTGTTGTTTTACGGAGGTTCTTCTCTAAGCTACACCATAGCCATGTTTTCTATCTCTTCACCTTCTACTGAAATGTCTTCAACATGTCTGACATGCAGTGAGGTATTTGCTTGCCCTTATGACATTATCTGAGGTCTGTGGTATGAGTGCCTGCAAGAATCTGGAAGAAAATCAGATACTTGAAATAAAAGAAGCCAGAAGTGTTAGTGTGGGCATCCTATTAAAAAAACAACAAACGTTCTGTTTATATGACAAAATTGATTGTTCCTCCTTATAAAATATATAATGAAATAACACAACAAAGTCATCAACAATTACAGCTGCATATTCATGGTCATCCACAAAGAAATCATCACAACAGTAATGTAAAGGTATGGGTCTTTTTGAAAATGCTGGACATTAGGCAGATTTTATCATCATATTTCTCTGTTTGATAATGTTCAAACATTAGATATCCTGCTGACTAACTATTATCACAAAATGACACATTTAATGCTTACAAAATATATATACAGCTCTAACTTCTTAGTTCAACAAGGATTTCAGAGATATATACGCCCTATGCAAATACACATTTCACCTTAAAAGTGGACAATGAAGTGTATAATGATGAAAGTCACAGGATTGCTTGACATCGGGGTGAAATCAGGCGCTCATTAAAATAATGACACCAGATGACCGTCACCTCTTTCAATAGCAAATATCTCTATTTCTATTCAAGATAGATGGGTATTTTTTTCATCAGGTGAACAAGCTTTAAGATGATATCAATAGCTCCATATGCCAAAACATTTACCAGTGCTTGATTCCAGTGTGTCATGACACAATTTAGTTTACATTTCACCTACTGGGAACTTAAAAACATCTTCAATTTTAATGCTAGATGCAATTCATAATTACCCTTACTGTACACATAAATATTTTGATAGTACAGACAAATTATTCTCAGATTAGTTAAACTTAGGGGGGGGGGTGGGGTGGACAGAATGACAAAAAATCATAGCTACCAACAAAAGCAGGTAAAGTTATGGGCAATTGTTTGATTTCCGGGATAGCAACACTTGTTCACTGTGTGTTGCATCTGCTTGTCAGCATTATGGTTACGCATATTCCTGTTGTTCATGAATAAACATAAGTCCTGCCTGTACATGAAGCTAACAGTCTCCACATTCTATAGCTAGATATTCAAAACTAATTGCATCATGTGCAAGTGACAGCAGTGACAAGAAGGAGAAGAAAATGCTTCTTGCAGAACATATGAGACTGAAAAGGATGCAGATACTAGGCACAGTAGATTTGCATTTGTTAATGCTCATAACATAAGAATGGAACACAAGAACTCAAGAGGTCTTTCACATAACAAAATACTCAGTCTCCTGTCAGGATACTCGGTTACAAGAAGATATTCTAGCAAGGACAAGGATTTAGAACTTCAATATGTTCAATGCTGTCTACGCCAGAGAGCAATCATATTCACTGGATTCCCTCACACAGTGGTTCACACACAGATCTACAATCTTAGAACACAAGGAAAAATGTTAACTGCCCACTGGTCTATTTCTTGCGTTTTACGTTTGATGCTGTCTGAGCAGAACCCTTTTCTGCACCTGGTTTGCTGTAGACAATTGGGGCTTTTTTGGCTCGTGGAGGGAGAGGTGGTGCAGAGACTTCAATCTTTTTCCTTGACGAATCGTTTCGTAAAAGAGCTAGATACATATCTTTGGATGCCCTCTTTTTTTCCTGTAGACAAAGCAAGTTTATAAAAACAATCATAAAGCCAAGAATAATAATGATATTTAAAATGTTGTCATGTTGTGCAAGATGATTTGAAAGTTTTATTCATTTCTAAATGTTGTAGGCATTCATATTCTTATTTTAAAAAAAACTTAATCAGGCTTGTTACTAATTCCGCTATGTAATGAGATAATAATACATACATACAAATGTATTTTCACTATATCTGATCTGTACACATAAAAGAATCATATTCACTATACTAAGAACACTAGAGTTTTTAACCATTAAATTTTAATCTCTTTTATTGATTTAGCTGCACAGAATTCTACAGGGTTTTTTTTTCATAAGGTTTTGCCAGGCATCTACAAACCTTTTAAAAGTGCTTGAAATGACAAAATATGTTTTTATTGGATGACTCCATAATCAATATTATATGAGCATACAATCTATTAATTTTAACATAAGACAAATTTTCATCGAAAAGCTCATCAAAGTCAAAAGACAATCGAGATAAAAAAGATAACGTTCTCTAAACACTTATTTTTTCTTTGACACATAAAACAAAATTAAATTTTAATGTCTGGAAATGATTAAAAAAATTGATTGAAACAAACACTTCTTTCAACCACTCTTAAATACAAAGAACTGATTACACATTTTAGTAGCCTATTCAGGCATAATAAAAAGAGAAAATTATCCACATTTTCAATGATTAATTACCGGGAACAACAACAACAACAAAATGCAAAATATAGAGCAATTAAGAACACACAAAGTTCAGGGGCAAAGCTAGGCTTGAAAATTGCTCCTAAAAGTTTGAAAGTTTATGGCATTATAGATGCAGTTCAGAATTTAAAAAACTCATTTAAAGTATTATTCCAATGTTTACTAGCTTGGTAAAAATGACTTTGAAAATGATTCATCTTTACCACTAAGTAGATGTTTATGTTCATCATTTAGAAGAAAAACATAAGTATACAACCAAACATACCTAAAATAAATAAAGGGCAACAAGTTGTAATAACTGGTTCGGACAGTTAATATCGGTATTATTACGCATCTGGGATATTATCAATAGACAGATAAAAGTGAGGCAGCGTGGTGAAATCAGGTGCTCGTCAAAATAATGAAATTTAAGAAAACGGCATTTTTCTTTCCCTTTGGCAGTTTTTATTGAGTTTTTAGTTTTTGGCTCAGTACTTTTTATGTCCATTTAAAAACAATTTGCTGTGTGACTTTTACTTAAAAACGTTGCTTAAAGACACAAATAGGTAAATTTACAGTTTCCAAAGACTCTCAAGCTTTGGAAGTCATCAAACTTTGGCAGCCAGTTTCTCGCTAATTTTACCTTTGAAACCGAGCGACCCCTACTTGCTTCAATCGTGAATATCTCGTCTTGCATTCAAGATAAATTGATATTTTTTTACTTGAAAGGAAGGCTTTAAGATGGTACCAATAACTCCATGTGCCCCAAAATTGACAAGCGCCTGATTCCACCATGCTGCCTCACAAATGTCACTTGCACTTCCACCAAAGGTAGATAATAACAAAGACTGAACTGATAAGAGAAGAGAAGATAAATCTTTATTGTCCAGATCCTGACAGACTGGTTTAGTGTTTCACCACGTACACACACACACACAAACACACACACTTACGAGCGCGCACACTCACACACACACACACACACAGATGCATTTGCACACATCCATACACACACACTCTCTCACACATACTCTCCTCTGCACATATCTGTACACATAAACATAATAGTATAGTGTGCTTGCACTCTCAATTCTAAGGCAGATAAAAAAAGACATACGTGAGGAAAATTATAATTAAACTGGAAAATATATGTCATTTGAGATTGAGATTGTTGGAAAAGAAACTAATGGCTCTTTCTTTCTTTTATTCTTTAAAAAAATTTCTTTCTTTCCTTGATCAATTGATACCATTCAATTTTCAGTCTTGTCCTTGGCTGAGAATATACATTATGTAGTATTATCAGCTTAGGCTGTTAGTCAATAGTAGATACTGTACTACGAGTACTAAATTATGATGAGGAAGGGTAGTTGTAATACCCTGGAAGTAAAATGTGAATGTCCGTGCCCATAGTACATTGAAAATAAATCTAACTTGATGAGCAATTTTGACAAAAGCGGCCCCCAACTACAAGTTACTGTTTGGGTAGAAGGTATAAAATAATGATTAAAAAAATACCCTAGACTTAATATATTTTTCAATTTTAGAAGTGGGGTACATTTCCAGAAAAACAAGATTCTTACTTATTATTGCTGCCATTTACACTTTATCTTGCGCAGCCCTACCGTTGCCTTCAAAAGGGTCCAAACAAGGAGTGTACGGGGAAAAGCTTGATTTAAATGATCAAAAAGGAAGAAAAAGAAGCACAGGGCTTCGTATGCAAGTTTTGAAAAGGAGAAGTTACCCGTTAAATGGAAAAGAGAAATAAAACCTTTAATGTGGCAGTATCTGAGCAGGAAAATATGGTTGCTAAATTACATTACTTTGGCAGTGCAGTTAGCACAAAATTGATGGTATAAGCTTACAAAAACACAATGTAGTGTTTTGATTCTACACATATTGAATCATCACTTGGAAACATTTATAGAAAAGGAGGCATTTTAATCAAATCCCCACTGTCATTTCTATTTGAAAGACGTAAACCAAAAGTGAAAGTTATCAGCACTGAGGCTGTGATGTTTGAGGGAAGCTGACGACAAAAAGCAGAATGGACAAAGTTGAAAAACCCAGGGAAGGAAACATGGCGCAAACGGGTTGGATTTTCAAGAGGCAATTGCAAGCTTTGTCACAGTACTTAGGACGCTCCATGGAATGATTGGAACATCAGAGTAAAGAGGGTCCTCAGCATTAGTAACCGAATGATGTCGGAAGGGATATAATGATTGACTCATCAATCCAGGGGGTACTGATTTCGGTCTGGGAAGGCTTATCTGTTGGAAAAATTTTCCAATTGATAGTTTAAAGTGGCTCCAAACCAGCACATAAGGCATAATCGAGATGAACTGGCGAGTGAATTTAAACTCACATTCTCTTAAGTGTGTCAAAAAGGTTTTCGCGTTTTTGAAGAGACTGACTGAAACTGAAATAATTCTTTAAATGCCTAGATATTTCTTCTCTGCAAAAAAAAGCTGCACTGCACCTCATGATCTTTACACAATTTAGTATTGTTTTGGTACATGTATGAGAAAATACCAAGCCCATCTAAAAGCAAAATGTGAAAAAGGAATATTAAACATAGGCCTACTTATTCTTAGGCACCCACTAAACTAAATGAAAGAGATTGTGTATGTGTGTGTGTGAGTGTGTGTGTGAGAGTGTGTGTGTGTGTGTGTGTGTGTGCATGTGCGTGTGTGTGTGTGTGTGTGTGTGTGTGTGTGTGTGTGAATCAATCTCTTAATTCATGCTCAATACCAAAAGTCCTTTAAGAGGAGGTAATCATGGCAGTCTCCTAAGACAGACTGCGAAAATCCTTTTCGCTGTCCATTTTTCTTTATCCCCAAGTCAGTCTGCCTCCATATGATCTGTTTAGGCTATATATGTAAAATTTGCCCCTCCTTTCCTACTTTTTATCAAACACAGTGTTCTACTGCCAATAATAATAATTTAATAATAATAATAATAATAATGATAATAATAATAGGTTAATAATAATAATAATAATAACAGTTAGTCCACCAAAGAGGAGCAGGTAGCTAGCATGGTAAAGAGCGTATTAAAGGAAATAATATTAAGCAACTTGTAGTGATCTCAATTTCCCTTTCCTGGAGTGTGTGCTTTGTGCCTTAACATAAGGTTGGTTAGTTAAACCTTCCTATAACTTCGCTTGCGACCTTCAAGAATTATTCTTTTTTAGAGGAATATATCATTATTATTCCACAAAGATAACACTTGTGGTCTGTTGGATGTGCCAATGTCAGGATTTGATTCTTGATCTTCTTGCTTCTTTGGCGGAATTAAATATTGCATTTATACAGAAATACTATACTTTGACCATCTATGAGCATCCTCTGAAATATCTACGAGGGCTGACCCAGAATTAACAAGAAAACAGCTTAAAACATGAGATATTTTGTCATTATTGAGATACAACTTACACATTTGGCTTAACATTCCCTTTTATTTTTCAGTGTAGTCCGAGCAAAGGAAAAGGAATGAAAGGAGAACCATGATCGCTGATGTCTGTCGTAGATCTGGCACTGGATGATGAGTCCTCATGACCATTCAAACATTATTCCCATCACTGCATTAGTAGAATTTATGTATGCCATCCCTGTAGAATTTTGTGTCAAGACATTTAAGTCAATCTCTGAAATACTCCACAAGGTTTGTTTCATCAGTGAATTTCTTCCTAGTTAGATATTGCTTCACTGATCCAAACAGATGGAAGTCTGAAGCGGCAAGATCAGGAGTGTGAGGTCAGTGGGGTAAAAATCTCCCAACAATAGATCTGTAGCCATTCTTTGGTGACCTTGGCAGTGTAAGTGATACTGGTGTCATATTGCAAGATGATGTATCAGTCGAATGCCTTACTCTCTTACGTTGCACCTTTTCTCCCATCTTATTGAGGGTTTCACAATATGTGGCTGTATAGATATTGATGGTTTTTCCTTATGGCAACATCTCAAGAAGAAGAACATTTTTTTAATTCCTCAAAACTGTAGCCATTTACTTTTTTCCAGATTGTTGAATGTTGAATTTTTAAATAATGTTTGTGATGAAAGATACTTCCAAGCTAGGAATCTCTTTTCACCTCTGTAGTGATGCGACAGATCCGTGTCTATGGCTTGTTATGACACAATCCAAAAAGTTTTCATTTGCATTTTGGTAGTCACCAGCAGACCTAGATCCCATGTTGTCATGTGAATTTTGTCTGCTTCAATCCAAAAAGTACTGAGCAAACATTGATGAACTGTGGCTTGTGGTCATTCATCAACTGTTTTGGAACGCACCAAGCTGACACTTTTCTGTGTCTCAGCTCATCAAAAACAGTTCTGTGAACTTTTGATTTAGCAAGATCAAGAGCATCAGCGGTGTCACAAATTAAGCCTCCTGTCATTGTGAATAAGCTTTTCAATGCCTTCCGCGTTTTTTATCCGTGTTGGAAGACAAATGGCAGTCTCCAGTTTGCTCGTTATGTAGATTTGTATGCCCTATTATAAAAATAAATTGCACCAATGGTAGACCTTTGCTTTATTTATATTAATATTATTTCCTTTAATACGCTCTTTACCATGATTTATCCCCATAAACACTTTCAAGCTCTGCATGAATTTCAGTGGGATTTTTTTCCCCTTTAGCACAACAAGAAGCCGAATAACAGCTCTTATCTCTTCTTTTGACTAATTTCATATAGCTCTAGTGGATGCCATCTTTGTTGTGATGTACTAGTACTAATTAAATGGTTGCATTCATTTTGAACATTTGGAGCATCCAAATTGAAATTCCCCTGAACAACAACAAACTTTTAACAGAATTGAAACATATTAAAAAGTTATGGAAACATGGCAATTTACCTGTTAATTCCAGGACAGCCTTTGTATTTGTTTTTCTCAGTTAAAGACATTTGATTTCCTAGCTGCAAAGCCACCTCTTCTCATTTCAACCACTGGCAAATTGATTATGACACCAAATTTAGAGGAGATGAAGAAGATTATCAAAATTGCATGTTACTAAACTAGAGATAGTGGAGCTTGTTGCAGACTTAACTCATAAATACCAGTACTTTGGCAAAACTAGGGAAAAAGATACTTGACTTAAAACCTACCTCCATCTTTGGCAAATTAGTAGAAGAGCTTAACTGAGATCCTGTAGATGGCTTCTTGCGTAGCACAGAATCTAATTGATCAGGCTGGAATGTTATAATGATGAGTATTTAGTTTTAAAATGTTGCCACTGTACAATCTTGTCCCCTATGGCTTGTATAAATTAATGGATTAAGCATAAGTTAATTCTTGAACTTGGGTGTATGTTGTGTGAGTTTATGGGAGTTTGTGTGAGACACATGTGTATATGTGTACTGTGTGTGTGTGTATTGGGAGGGAGGTATGTATACATATAATATATATGTGTTTGTGTGTGTGTGCGTGTGTGTGTGTGTGTCTGTGTGTATGTGTGCACATATATGAGCAAGAGCTGGATTGAGAGAAAGAGAGTTGTTAGAGGAAAGGATACAGCATGTGGGATGCATCAACATGTAAGAGCCAGATAATATGTGAGGCACTGTGATGAAATCAGACACTTGTCAACATAATGAAATTGTAGAAACTGTCATTTTTTTTCACCAGTTTGAGAATATTTTAATCGAATTTTTTAATTTTTTTGTGCAAAACACCTTTTATGTCTATGTAAAAACACCTTTGATTGTGGATTTTACTGAAACACGTTGATTAAAGGCACAAAGAAAGAACATTTGCAATTCCCAAGGACTCAGAAGCTTTGGAAGTCACCAAAATTTGGCGGCCATTTTCACGCAAATTTTATCTCTGACACCAGGTAAATGCAATTCTCCCCCACCAAATCGCAAATATTTCTACTTCTATTCAAGACTGATTGGCATTTTTTTCATCAAAAGCAAAACAAAAGAACAAACTTGAAGACGATTCCAGTAACAACATGAGTCCAAAAATTGACGAACGTCTGATTCTACTGTGTCGTGACACATATATGAATAGCCTAAATACACTGCCACATTTGTATTTTTTCTCATGTTAGAAAGAGCAGAGGGAGTAAGAAGGACCAACATGGAAATGACTATGTTAATGAAGCCTGAAACAATGTTCACAATGTATTTCACTTGGGGAACAGCAAAAAATTACATTTGATAATACGGAGGAAACAACTAATATTCTAATCAGGGCAACTATTTGTTAGAATCACACAAGAAACAAAAACTAGGAACAGCATAGAAAGTCAGTCTAAACAGCATCAGACTAAAAAGTGCTAAATGAAGCGCAAATCATTTTTGTGACAAGTAGTGAATCATCAGAAATAGCTTGAGATAGGAGATGTAAAGAAGAAAGAAAAAAGAGAAAAAAAAGATGAAGATATAATGAGGTTTAAAGTACCAGCAATTTGTGTAACAAGATCACAAAGACACGGATTTTCAGCACGAAAACAAAAATAAGAGATAACAGTAAACTGTGCCGCATGTGAATTACCTCCAAATCACCACCTTCAGAAGAAAGCGACAACTGGCTGATGTTACTGTCACGGCCACTGTCATAGCTAGTGGTTGATGAAATACCTGGTGGAATGGAACAAAACATCTCAGATTCCTTTTCATAAGCAAATAAACATCTTAGCAAAAAGGGTGCTAGGTCTTATACAGTTAAGCACGCACATAACAAAAATTTGTTTTCTGAAAAAAGCACATAATGGGCAGCATTCAAGTCCCACATTTTTCCTTAGGCCTATATATTCTTTGTATTTAAAACATGCACATAGGGAAACAAAATTGCTAATTTTGTTTATGAAAGTAGCCATGATGAGAGAGAGAGAGAGAGAGAGAGAGAGAGAGAGAGAGAGAGAGAGAGAGAGACAGAGAGACAGAGAGACAGAGAGACAGAGAGACAGAGAGACAGAGAGAGAGACAGAGAGAGACATAGAGAGAAAGAGAGAGAGGGGAGAGAGAGGGAAGAGAGAGAGACAGAGACAGAGAGAGAGACAGCAATATCTTGGAATTGTAAGCTTTGGAGCCGATTGGACATGTTCGGTGCCATTGGAATATTAGTTCAGTTTGGTGTTCTCGCTGCTTTATTGCACACTACAAATAGACCCCTGCCTCCCACCGATTGCCTGGCTAATGTTTTTGAAGGTCATGATCATCGGTTTCGTCAGTTTGTGCCATGATGGCAGCTTTTACCCTTCCAAGGAGGAAAATCTGGTTAGCCCTGATGACCAAACCAAACAGAACCCAACCGATGATGCCAATGGTCAAGCATTGATTAGATGGGACATCAGGACACCATATCTTTTAAAAGTAAGATACTACATCTTATTTTCCTTAGTTGTACTGAGTGTGAACAGGTTATGGACAATTTTCTGGCAAGGGTGAATGCGTTTACCCTGACCAAGTTAAATGGGTTTTCAACTGGAATAGACTGAGTGGTCTGACAAAGTTATTGTAAAGTCAGCTGAACCTTCAGCTTGAAAAGATATGAGACTGAAAACTGCCATTTTAACTTTTAATTTGGGTTGGCAAGCCCCCAGCATCACATTTATACTTAAGCAGAAACATTTAAAATGATCCCCTGACTATGCTAAGAAAGAAGTCTTTGGTAAAATCATTTCCAAAAACATAAATGGGTACCCAGTTCACTGATAAAAATTTTTAAAAACAACTGACTCGCAGTGATGTGTATACTGGCCACCAGCCCCCAATACCCAGTGCAGACTTCCAATTGATTCATTTGACTGTCCCCATTGTTTTATGCACCCTGCATAATTTAGCAAACTTTGGTCATTTTTCGCATAATTTCTGATCATTTTCCTTTATCATTCTTCGTTAAAATTAACAGAATCACATAATTTCACATTTTTGGACTCAGTTTACATAATTCAGAATATTTCTTGCATAAAAAGAAGGGGACAAATTTGATTTTTCATCATGGATGGGACAAAAGTTACCATCTTGGCACAAACAACCAAATTCAACTACATTCAACTGCGACCTTCAAAATAAAAATTTTTCAAGGTCATGAATTGAATCTAAATCTGGCTGTCCCTGACTCAATCCAATGAATTCAATCGTCAGTGTGCTTTGGGTTAAGCCTTTTACTTGGACATAACCTTCCAAATCTGGAGAAGGATTGCAAAAAGAATATTTGTCCCTGTGGGTCAATATCAGTCATATGAAGGAAATTTCAAAACTGAGTTAACATAATTTTCAAAAACTATCACCTTTTCCCTACCATTTAAAACAAGAATGAAGTAAATATGACATATTTGACGAAAATACAGAACTTTTAATTGTGCGAGGTGAGGAAACACGAAAAGGAGAAAATGGCCTCGACAAAGTTGAGCAACATATATGTTTCCATAGCAATGGGGGTCTTAGAATTGAGATAGAGACTTGAAATTTAGCAGTTATCTTGGCTATGCTACTACAAGGTAACATACAAAAGTAAAAAAACTATTCATTCTCAGAGAAAAAAAACCTTATGGACCAAACAAAATTTTAACGAGAATGGACTTCACGTCAAATGCAACAAAATATTAGCATTATACTAGGTACCAGACACTAAATTTTCAAAGTAGCTGAATGTCAAATTCATCTGTTTCATACGAAAGGCCTATGTCTCCTGAGAATTTTGGTACCATACTTTTACCTCTCAGTCAATGTTAAAGAGAATGGCAGCAGTTTCAATTGAACATAATAATAAAACATTGCTGAAGTCGTTAACTGGCTGCAACCCCATGTTTGACAGACAGTAAAAGAGTACCAAGAGCATCAAACATCTCTACATTATAAGAGTACAATCACTATAACATTGAAATGAAGCCTAATATTTTTCAAGACTCTGAGATCATTACAAATCAGCACTTTATTGCCTCAAGCACGATGATCTGTCGTTATTTCAATAAAAACATCGAGCGTTGTCTCGGCCAGCGCCGCACCAGCCTTCGCGGCGAGCCGGCTCAATACTGTAGTATAATGAGTGTTCCTGGTAGTTTCGCAGAAGGATTCATGAAAAATAATTCCAAGCCGATGACTTTATTCTAATAGAAAAAGAACTGTTCTTTCTATTGGTACCTTTTTTAGCCGGTATTTCACACATTTCATGTTAAAAATAATCTTTGAAAATTTAGAATCTTTTTTCAAGGTTTTCTATCTAAACGCCAATTGCCAAAATTAATAACCACGGGAAACCACGTGGAAAGCTGTATAGTTCTCTGCCACTGAAAAGACGTTATTCAATCATCAATCTTTCTGCAAAGCATTTGAATGCATGGGTGTCAATTTTGAACCGGAGGACCTCGCATTCCGATCACGAGGGGCTTCCCTTTCCTCGGCGATTCTCCAGCTCCAAATACCCGAATATACAAACAACTTACACTATTATAACGAAGAAAATCTGAACGTTTTCAAAGTGTTCAGCATTTGGCACTTGGTGTTTACAGCAAAAGAGCAAAGAAACAGAGATTTGAATTACCCCCATTTCATCGAAACCACGCGCTCGGAAGGCCGTGAGTCGGCATACGTGCCGTGTTTACACTACGTGATTAACTTTTGCAATAGCACCATAAACACACGGGAGTACACACACACACACACACACACACACACACACACACACACACACACACACACACACACATGCGCCCGCACACACAAACAAACACACCAACACACATACACTGCATACACACACAGGCACATAGACCGCCTCCGCGGCCTCTTGGTATAGTCCGCTCTGAGAGATCTAGAGGAAGGTTAATTAATCTTTTAAAAGCTCTAAAATACAATAAAAAGGAATTTCTAAAGTCATTCCAAGTGTAAAACTAAAAGATCAACAGATGATAGCAGCTAGAAGGGCATGCCCACACAGTCAACTGTTTACGTAAACAAGCTTGAAGTGAGCTAGAAGTTACCGTTTTTACTCCGTTTTACCAATCAGAGTTGTTTACATTTCAGACCATTCATGCTCGAAAAGGGGCCAAAATCTAAAAATAGTTGCAAATGAAGAATGTTGGACCAAAGATTTACCACTAGTGGAGAATCTTTGGTTGAAGCAAAGGTGGCCATGAGGTAATGGTTCTAAAAATAATGTCACAGCTACACACTAGCAAGGTCCAAATTCCTTTATCTCGTCATCTGAGCTCACAACAAACCACACACACCTCTAAAATAAATCAAAATAAAATATTTATATTCAATTATAGTTGTTTATTTTGATCTTAAATGATGCAGAAGACATCAAACTTTCAATATATCCAAAAAACAAAAATTTCAAGGAAAGTCACCTTTTTGTCTTTCGAGCCTCTTAGCTGATAATAGCATAGTGCGTCTTACGATTGATATTGAGCGGGGCAGACAGATATATAGATCTAGTACTGAAGTGCTTACTTGTATTGCTCACTCTTTGTCCAGGTACCAGTGAACGTGAAGATTTTTTTGTTTGGCTCCCGGCAAGAGCTCCCTGGGAAAAATATATGATATTGTATAAAATGATGCCTATACAATAAACCCCAACAGAAGTTTAAGTCTCAATGCACAGTAAAAACCTGAGTAAGATGACCACCTTTTATTCTTGAGAATGGTGGTTGCTTTAAGTTCAAGCTGCTTTAAACTCTCACTATTCGGCACATCTACTGAATAGATGATACATTATTATTTTTTCCCCACTTTTTTCAATTATCTTAAATATCTGCTACACCCAACATTAATTTAATATTCATTCTTTTCTGGACATTTCAGAGGGTAATACAAATTTGTAGCTTGAAATCTGAAGTTCTATAATGAAAGTGCTAATGTATGTATGTTTTTAATTAAAACTTGCTGCCACAAAACAAGGAATATGCCTACAACTTGTAAGAGTTGAGGAGGTGTACAATAATTTGTAGTCTGTGTGTACAACAAAAGTCTTACCGAGTAATAAATCAATAGACAGGATCAAGCATGGGTATGGGTGTGAAGGTAACAACAATGGTAACATGCACAGACATAACAGTATCACAGCATAATTATATGTCATGAAAATGTCAAATGTAGAGACCTCATTTAGCAATAAGTGGTTGAAGCAGGTAATAACATCACTGTTGAAGATTAATACATTGAAAAAGAATGTTAGGCTATTGCATTTTTGAGGTGGTCATAGAGAGATTTTACATTTAAATTTACACACAAAAGGAAAGAAGAAATGTTTTCCTCCAAAATAAGGTAATTGAGGCAGATGGTCACCATAAGCTGAAGGTCACCACTGTATGTTTACTGTGGGGGGGTTACACAACTACAAAGCAGTTTTTTTTTACTGTAAGCATCTTAGCATCAAAACCATCCCTGAAATACCATTTCTGCAAAGGACATATTTTGAGCTCAAACTGATTACTGATGTAGCTACAAGTTTTTATTGTAAACATACACAAAATGTGGACATCTTAACTGTAAAACTGAGGGACAAGCTATGCAAAAAAATATTACATGGTATAGTCCTTCAGGATAAGGAGAAATAAAGAAAAAACAAAACTCAGGAAGATAATACAATTAAGCACATCTTATTCTTTTTAACAAGCGTAATATTCTATATTTCCAAAATTAGGTTAATCAGTTATGCAAGTGGTATGCAGATATAATAAATCCTTTTATCCCACTAAGTAATTTGCTTTTTAGGGTAGTAATTTGCTTTTTGGGTCTCCCCTCCATAACAAATGAATGGCATGAATGCATGTGGCATAGCCTTATCTTCTTGTTGGCTCTGAAAAAAAAATCAGCTTGATGCGTCACATGACTTAAAACATTTCACTCTACTGGGGTAAAATTCAAACGATTTTATTTGAAATCATGACATGAGAAGATAAAGGAATGAGAAATCTTTTGAAGCCATTCACATCACTTGTCACAACAAACTATAATTTTTCCAGATGCTGAAAATTGTTATAAGACTTTCAGCGTTTACAAAATAGTAAGGGAAAAAAGGACAAAATCTAGTTCATATTGTAAAAGAATCTAGTTCATGTTGTAAAAGAATCTAGTTCATGTTGTAATAAAATCTAGTTCATGTTGTAATAGAATCTAGTTCATGTAGTAATAGTAAGGGCACATGGAGTTATTGGTATCATCTTAAAATTGATTTATGTGCCTTGCTTTCAATGAAATAGATGTACATCTATCTTAAATTGAACTCCAAATATTTGCGATTGAAGGAAATAGGATTGCCTGGTGTCAGTGGTAAAATTAGCAAGAAAATGGGAGCCAAAGTTTGGTACCCCTAATAGCTAAAGAGTCCTTGAAAACTGAAGAATGACATATTTTGTGCCTTTAATCAATTTTTTCCCGTAAAGTTCAAATGAAAATGTATTTTTATTTGAAGATAAAAGAAGTTGAGCCAAAAATAAAAATTCTATAAAATTTTCCTAACTGGAGGAAAAATGTCTGTTTCTCTGATTTCTGTACTTTGACGAGTGCCTGATTTGACCACACTGTCTCACATATTGTAAAAGAATCAGGTTCATGTTGTAATAGAAGATAGAAGTTAGATCATGTTGTAATTATGTGAGTAATACAAATTAGCTCAAGTTGTAATAGAAGCTAGTTCATGTTATAATAAAAATGAGCTCATACGTTATAATAAAAGCCAGTTCATGTTGTAAAAGAAGTTAGTTCATGTTAAAATAAATGCTAGTTCATGTTACAATGAAAGCTAGTTTGTGTTGTTATGGAAACAAACTCAGGTTGACACACATAAATGGAAGCTGACACAGTTGAATGACATGCCTGAGTCATTCCACAGAAAATTGGAGTGCTCTGTATAAGATTTCAAGGCCTCTGGTTTTCAGAAAGGTCAGAAAGGTTACATAAGATTGTATTGACTATATTAATTATATGAGTCACTAAGTAACTACTCATTAAAAAAAACCACCTACGCCAATTAGGACGGCCAGGTGAGAGACAGTGCTGCCAGATTCGTTGTCTTTGCCTCCAGAACCAATGCTGCTACTGCTGAGTTTTCCCTTCTTTTTCGGCTCATTTTTCTGCCGTGCATTTTTTATAGTCTGGATAGTATTTGGGAACTCTGCCTGCAGTTTGAGCAGTCCTTCCTGTTTCCCCAGAGATAATGTTACATTATTGTACACAGTGTACTGAGACAGATGGAGATATATGAGAGAGAGAGAGAGAGAGAGAGAGAGAGAGAGAGAGAGAGAGAGAGAGAGAGAGAGGGGGGGGGGAAGAAAGAGAAAGTGAAAGTGTGTGTGTCAGTGAGAGAGGGAGTGAGAGTGGGAGAACGAGAGGGAATGAAAAAGGTGGACAGAGAGAGTCAGTGAAAGAAAGAATGACAGAGTTGGAGAGAGAAACAGGGAGAGAGAGAGTCAGTGAAAGAGAGAGAGAGAGAAAGAGAGAGAGAGAGAGAGAGAGAGAGAGAGAGAGAGAGAGAGAGAGAGAGAGAGAGAGAGAGAGAGAGAGAGAGACAGACAGACAGACAGACAGACAGACAGACAGACAGACAGACAGACAGACAGACAGACAGACAGACAGACAGACAGACAGACAGACAGGCAGACAGGGATAAAGATTAATAAAATAATAGAAGAGGCAGATAAGGAGCAAGTCAGAAACATCAGTCAACGTAAAGGAGAAAAAATTGTTAACATTTCTTAGAGACTTATCAATTAAGAAAAAACGATGCGTTTGAACCTGTAAAAAGCTGAATTGCAAAGGATTTTTTTTTACATTTGGCTTTGGGTAGGTTTCAGATTAAAACAGGTGTAAAAGTGGGAAGCATTCAGTGGAATGGGATAGTCAAAGGGTACACACAAAAAACACTTTCTAAGGCCATTTTCACAAACAATAAATCTTGTAAAGACTTGTTATACTATATATAAGTAATAAAAACTTGATATATGGTTGCAAGACAAACAAATAAAATTGCATGACATTTATCCTACCAATAGTCCAAGAGAGGTGATTGGGGTTTACCTTTCCCCCTAATAATCTCAATAGGCAAGTATATGCCCATCTTGTTTCAACCAACAGCCATGCTCACCCTTGAATGCAAAGCAACACAAACCCTCAAGCCTTGTAGCCATAGCCATGCTCACTCTTGTAATCATATCCACACCCATCTTCATTGCCCTGTTCACCATAGCAACCTCACCCTTGTATCCAAGGCAAAGTCTGCTCTTGTACCCTCTTTTTCAAATGTTCTTCTTTTCCACATGTCACTCACTACGGCCTGTGTTTGTGTTATACCATTTTCTATCAAGTCTGAAATAATTTCATAACTAACAGGGCTCATGAAGCCCATGTTGCATAGCTTGCCATTGATCTAATCACAGATAGAGAGGGGTTTGGGTCGCATTAGTCTTGTTATAGTATTCAGCTATAGACAGAAGAAGACAGCAAATTTAACACTCAAACCAGGAAAAAAAGCATTTCTTAAGTGTAACCGTCATATGAAGGATTAACCTTGAGAGGAATTGTAGGTTTAATTCTACACATTGGAAAAGTGGATCTAATTTAACACTTTTTCCCAATGGGATGCTGAGAGCGAGTCAGTAACAGAATGAAGCCATTTCTTTCCCCCACAAGACATTGATAGGCAACAGTGTCTCAACAAAAACATTGTAGGAATGATCTCATTTTAAACATGCACACTTGTTAAAGTTATAACTTCCTTTCAGAATGGTTTGTGTGGCCTTTGAGAGTAAAATCAGTTAGTTTACAACAATTGGAGCAACATGGACCTTGCATGAGTGCTGCTTTAAACTAACAACATGATACGAATACCGGTTATGAATGTGCTAGACCTAATGTTTTTAGTTCTGATTTGGATTCCTTGTTTTGAAGAACATTCAATTTTCTCAATCTGCTGAAAATTTCACAATGATAAGGGCATTTTTGTTGAGATACAGGTATGTGATGTAGGCCTACTCCATTTTCTTCCTGTTACGTGGGGAAAATGGTTTTGTGCTCTGCACACTGGGTGGTTTTGAAAGTGTTTATCTAGTTTTTCTTTATTGATAAAGCTGCAAATGCATACTTCCCAATCAGTAGAATGATACAGCATACATGTAACAATCACCCCGGTCTGAAACAGTCAGGTCAAATGAACAGACAGCCAAGAGAAATTTTTTAAAGTAGTGTAAATTTAAGTTGGAAAGAAAGGGAAACATGACTATAAATCAGCATTTTTTAACTTTTACAATCGAGAAAAAAACTTGTCCCTGAACAGATAATAGTTCAAATCAGTACCATACCTGTTTGGTCTTAAAACTGGCAGTGTTTCCCATTTTATATCTATCTTTCCATGCTGAAAATAGACGTTCAGCTTCTTCCACATTAAAGTTCCCTCTCTTCACCTCATCCTGGATCGCAATGAGCTCTGCCTGACCGCGGGATCCCATTGCTCCACCAACAAGCTCTATATCTGAGAAAAGAGAAAAGTCATGAGAGCATGTCAAAAGAACTTCGTTAATTGTTAAGTCTTCACACTTAAATAGGCGGCCTCACTAAGTTTGATTTTTAGAAATTAACTTCATTTTTGGCATCTTAGCAAGTGGAAAATTTAAAGCAGGAAATTTTAACTGACTATCCACATTTCTTAGCAAAGCATCTACTTCAACACATTATCCAAAACTCAAGCACATGTTGTGTACTTTCTTCTTTATTTTCTACATGATATGCTTGATTAAAATAAAACAACATAGACTACCACTTGACTATATATACCAGCATATCGTCGGCCTTGTGATAAAACCAACTAACCCCAGTCGGGTAAATTTTACAGGAGAAGGAATAGACTGTTTTATTTCAAAACAAAGGTATCAAACGATAAATCAATGCTTTAAACACATATAAAAACACTTTACCGAAAAACTATAGACCTTTTTTTCTTAAAAAATCGCTTTTAATGAAACTGCGTGGGATGGACGATTACGTCGCTCAAATTTTTACGGATAAAACCGACCAACCCACAATTTTGTGGGTTGGCCGGTTTTATCAGGAAGCCACTGCTGGCCTTGAGTGCAGCTACGCCGCACTTGCTGGTAACGTATTCGATCTGTTGTTTCAATCGTCATGATCTTTTGTGTTACATGTAACAGGAGGAGGAGGAGAAGGAGGAGGAGGAGAGGGGAAGGAGGGGGAGGAGGGGGAGGAGGAGGAGGAGGAGGAGGAGAAGGAGGAGGAGGAGGAGGAGGAGGAGGAGGAGGAGGAGGAGGAGGAGGAGGAGGAGGAGGAGGAGGAGGAGGGGGAGGAGGAGGAGGAGGAGGGGGAGGAGAGGGGGGAGAGGAGTAGGAGGAAGGGAAGAAGAAAAAGAAAGGGAAGTGGAGGAAGAGGAGAAGGATAAGGAGAAAGAGGAAAAGGAGGAGGAGGAGTAAGAAATAGAAAAAGAAGGAAGAGGAGGAGGACGATTCTATCACTACGACCATACTATCAGCTGCTGTCATTTCAGTGCTATGGGGTCTTTTTGGGCAAAAACAGCGGTCACAAAGTTGAATATTAACTAGAAATAGAAGAAGCAGAACACAGCAATGGGTCTATTAACTACATTTGAAGTAGAAGAACTGGAAGTTTGCAGGTTAAGGGAAAGCAGCTACAACAACAACAACAACAAAAAAGCAACAACAACAACAACAACAACAACAACAACAACAACAGTAGTAGCAGCAGCAGCAGGCCTTTAGAATTTATGACAGTGTCTGACACGGTACTATTGGCACTGGCAGGTCATTCAAAGGCCTGGAAAAAGTAATACTAAAAAAGAAATGAAAGCAGAAAGACACACAAAAGCTCCGCTACCTCAGCAATGGTTTGACAAAACGACAAAAAGTCACCAAGACTCTGCAATATTCGAATTTGACTTGTTCGTTTTCAAAGCTTCTTAATGAGGCAAAGTTTCATAGCAATAGTGGTAGCATTGTGGTACGACAGCCTTCAACTCCTGTAGATGCTTATACTGCCTGGCAGCTATCTTCACTGTATTTGTAGAGAGGTCCAGCAGTAACTGTTGTGCACAGGATGTTCAGCTTTCTTGGTTCTTGCAGCACCTGCCATTCATCATCAAAGTTCAGCTTGTACTAAATTTTAAAGACTGGAGTGTACTTTGATGCCTGCAAGTCAGTGACAGTAAGATCACCTGCTTTACTCCCTGGGCGGATTGTTTTGTACTCGCTGACCTTTGGCAAATCTTTGAGAAAGCTGTGGTCCACGTACATAACTTCATAGGACCTGGGGATTCGTCTGGCTTTGAGCATGATGTTCACATAGTCTACTGAGATGTAATTCAGTTGTGTTTTTTTAGCAATCGCTCAATAGTGCCATAGACTGAATCCACCAACATTTGGGTATGGCCTTTGGTGAGAATTTCTACTCAACTGTGATGTCAAGCTCTTTGGCCAGCGAGGCCATCTCACTCACCAGGGTGGTATTTCTGTTTTGGCAGTTGCACCCATCACTGTAGATGATGAAGTGGTTGAAGTAAGTCGCTTGCGATCTCAGATAGTGAGTCAGACATGATGAAGACTGAGCTCAGACCACCTTCACTTTCATCTCAGACATATCATCTGGCGTCTCTAGTGGCGAGATTGTAAATCGTAAAATTGGGTACAGCCAGTTTGGTTTATAACATTAGGCGGGTGTCTTTAGTGATGGTACCAGGAGGACGCACTGGATCCCCATACAAAGGACACACTCTTTGTTTTCTGGGTTCAGTGCAGCCTCCCTTTCCTTCTCCTTCTCTGCTCGAGATGCAGCTTTAATCATGTTCATATTTCATGAGCTGTGTATTTTGTTTCTGTGAGGTTTCCAGATTCGAAGCTGGTGCAAATGTCGCACAGGTCTCTCTCGGTTGAAAGTAAACCTCAATTGTTTTTCTTGAGCTTTTGGCTGAACATTTGATAGCTCAATGTTTTTTTCTGCCTCTCTTCACATTTCTCCACGTATACTCTATGCACATCTGACGTGCTCTGGATTGTCATCTGGAGGCAGGATTGTCGAAAAATTCCTCCTTATGAAACAACTTGTCATCCTTGGCTCTCTCGTGGTGGGCATGATGTGTTCTTGGGGGACTTTTTTTTTTTTCTTCGGAGAAGACACTTTAAATAAACCAGTGGGTCAGGCCTGTATTGTTCATGAAGATTGTTTTACAAATAGGAATTCTTTAAGCGTTGCCTCTTTTTAAGTGATATTGAAGGGTGTGATTTCTTCTTGGGTTTTCACTTGCTGTGTAAGATCTCTTTTTGTCTATCCTGTTTATCATGGCATATACCTACGCTCTCTTTTCCTTCCAAGAGAGTGATCAGTGAAGTCATTGGATTTTGTATAAACCAGTTTACAACTGAAAAGGACGTTAGGTTCACAGCCTGCTCGCTTTTTGTCTTGACATATTATGTAGAGGCATTCCCAGCTCTTTCAACCTCTTCCTTTTGTTACCCTTCCAATCGTTTTCATCCTGTGTCCTTTTTGCAGAGATCATCGGTGACTGACGTGACATTAACCTAGTCACGTTATTCCATTGCGCTGAGGGTCAGAGGTGACCAAACAAGAGTGGCATCCTCTGATGGAATGTTATAACATTATGTAAATTAAGGTCTGATATAAGGATAGAGCATTATATGACACTGAGAAAATAATCTATACAAAAGACAAACGAAATGAACTATAAAAGAAAGTCGAAAGACATTTTAGAAGATGACTGCAATAAACACTGCAAGTGAAAAAAAGAAGAAGCACTTAAAACAACAATGATCTTTGGGGGCAGGTGGTGAGCTGGACAGGTCCCACATTTGTTTTTTCTGAGTGAGTTAGTAAAGAATTAAATGCTTTTGACTTCGTCCATTCAATTGTGAAGAAAAAAAATGATTAGGAGAAGAGACAGTAGTCCGAATTGGGGAAAATGCCTTCACAATTTGGTGACTTTCCAGTACAAAAATAAGGAAGAACACGTGGACAGAAAAAATAGTGTCATATAAAACAAAATCCAAAAAGATGCTTTTTAAATACTGGCATTGTCAAGAGATAAACAGTTCAGTGGGAACAGTGGGGAATTCTAGTCATTAATAGCATTATCAACAGCATTAAAAATGAAGTAAAAAGAGGAAGCAACCAGGTCTATTTAACTCCCCAATGAAACCAACAAGAAATATACAAATATTCCTTTTAGGAGAGCTCCCACGGTTACGTGAGCGAATTCTTGACTATCAAAGGTCTGAATCTGATGTCAAACAAAGTCCGTAGACGAGTCGAAGCCGACCCTCATTCCCTCCTTCGCAGGTGGGTAGTCGGAATTATCGGGCTAAAATCCGATGGGTGCCGGGTCATATGGTTTTATTTCTAATGTTTTAAAGACATTTTTAGGCAAAATTCAGACCTATCTTTGAGTGAGTATTTGAAATGGACAATTTACTATGGATAGGGCCAATAAAAAGTTTTTTGATATTTTGTGGGTTAGTCGGTTTTATCACAAGGCCGACGATATGACGCATCATATGATTATTATCTTTCATTTCTTAGAGGACACAGATCTTAGTGAGTTTGAGGCCAAAAGTGGTTTTAAAAAATATTTGTGAGCTTTTGAGTAATGATTTCAGATTCCAAGTAGAGTTTTGTAACCATACACCACTCAAATGCCCCCACTGTTTAACATTAAAATGAAAACAACCAAACACTCTTTTTTAAGTCCAGCTACTCTTGGGACAGCAAATGGTGGATTCAGTCAAACAGCAACATACCAGGAGTGACGTAACAGTCTTGAGAATCTGAAACATAATAATAGCAAATCACATTAAGTATAGGAATAAAAACTGTTCAGGAAAATTCTCTTTTATTATATGGAAAACATAAAAATATTAACAAGGGTATCAGTATAACGATCACTTCTTCTTTTTCTCCTTCATCTTTTAATGGACATCCCTGTCTCTAGTGCAAAGACTGCTGGCCCTCCAAGCCCCAATAGATTTTGGGTCTCTCTGCCCATGGTTGAGCCAATATTTCTTTCTAAGCCCCTCGAGCATCGGGAAGGTTTGCAGCAAATGGTTCCCTTTTTGAGCGCCCGTTCTGCACTGACATTGCTCTGAATTTCTGATCTTGAATTTCATGTAGAGGTGGTGTTTCAGTCGGTCTGCTCATGATGATTAAGGAGGTAGTAGGGGTCAGCCTGGTAGTAGTGTTGTTGGTGTTGTTCTTTCCGCTTAGCTTGTAGCCCCCTTTTGAAGATGGTTTTGGCCTCTGAAAGGCTCGTCCTTTTAGCAGGTTGCTCTGATTGAGACCCTTTTTTGCTATAAAATCAGCAATTTCATTCCCAAACAAGTTACACTGAGAATGAGATGGTATCCACTGCAGCACAACTGTGTGTTTTTTGCAAAGGCTTGCAATTTTTATTGTCAGGTCATTTAGCTCCCTGTCTCTGTTTGGTTTTAATGGCATATAGTACGGAAAGAGCGTCTGTGAGGTGGGCCACATTGGGAGAGGAACATATGGGCCAGATTTGACTAGACTGGCTGCAGTTTTCATAATAACTATTTCAGCTTTGTTGTAGTTAGTAGTGCAGAGGACAACTGCAAGGCTTTCTTAAACTTCCTCTCCTGTCGGAGACTGGAAGTATATTACTACCACTTCATTCTGAACTGCATCCTCAGCCGATCCATCTGTGTAGATTCATGTCCATAGATTCATAGGAAAGCACTTGTCAAGGAGTTCGGATGCAAGAGCTCTTCTTTCTAGACAGGTCTGTGAGTCCTTTCTACTCATGCCACAGATGCTGTTTTGTATGTGAAGGGATGTTAAGTTTCCACGGGTCGACACAGAAGTACTCGAGGGGATCTCTTCAGGGATATATTCGTTTATGGGCAGATATCGATGTTATTATAATGATCTAACAAAGAGACTTAACTGAAAAAGAAGAAGTAAGCAGTGGAATAGCAGAGTCTGTTGCTTTGATGCTAGAGGAAACTGAAAAACTGACAGACGAAAAGATAAAAAGATACACTGATTTAATAAACCATCAGACAAGCAAAGAATGGGCAAAGCTCATCTCTAAGTTGTTTTTTTTTCAAGATAGTGATAAAGTTTTTGTTGCAGAAGCCATTAAATCACCAAATATTTTTTTTCTCTCAATAAGAATAATTTTATACATGTGTAGCGTTGTGGTAAAATCAGGCGCTCATCAAAATAATTAAATCAAAGAAATCATCATGTACTTTGGCCTGTCGGACAATTATTATCAATGTTTTATTTCATTTGGGGGGGGGGGGGGGGCGCAATACCTTTTATATCCATCTACAAACACATTTCTACGTGGAATTTACATTAAAACACTGATCAAAGGCATGAAAAATATAAATTTGCAGTTTACAAGGACCCTCAAGCTTTGGTAATCATCAAACTATGGTGGCCATTTTCAAACTAACTTTTCCTGTGACACCAGATGACTTCTATTCAAGATACACATGTTTTTAAAAAATTAACAGTTAGTCTAATGAACAAGCTTCAAGATGATAGCAATACCTCTCTATGCCAAAAAACCGAGGAGTGCCTGATTCCATTGTGTTGCAAAACATATATGAACATTTTTCTAACATACTTTAAATCATGGTAATAACTCATGTCACTATTGAGAAGATGAAAGCCCAAGAGTTTGAGCTTCTTTCTATTCACTTGCATAAGGAAATTCAAAAGGTTTGTAAAAAGTGCTTCATTACTTGATTTCGCATTATCTCATTTTATCTTTTACTAACTCTTCAATGGCAATAACATACATGCCAATATGTCACGGAATATTTCAATGCTACGTATTTTCTCTTTCTTTAGATAATGAATCCTCTATTTTGTTAGTACACACAACTTAGTTAGCAAACTGTAAACATGGCTCAGAAAAAGAGAGATAAACATCATAAAACTGGTAGAAACTAGGCCTACCGTAGGATCTCAGTATCCTGAACTTACTACAAAGATCAAGTTAAAAGAAACCACTGTAAAGCTTATACAGACTTGCATGTGGCTGATTATCTTTTCAAAAACTCATTTATGGTTCACAGTTAGCATGAAATTGAATAATACTTGTTTGGAAAGTTTTGAGTAAAATCAATTTGAACAAACACTTAAATCTTTAACAGAATCTAGACAACTCAATTTAATTATAAAAGACTGCAAGAAGGACTCACCTATTTCCACATAATAGTCTTCATCATGGGTTTCTGCAAAGAAATCAAAGTGGACTATTAAGAACATTTCAGAGAAGTGCCCCACCTCTAGTCTCAAGAGAGTTGAAATCATTATCAGTCATGTTTTGACAGAATCTATTGTTTAGCACAACCAACTTTAACTATTCTCCATACAGCCGCAGGTCTTAGATTTCTTGACAGGGAAAACATCTATAGTTCTTTGTTTTACTTGGTTGAGGGAAAATGTCAAACAAATATCTAACGCAAAATTACCTCTGATACATTACGAGGGGGGTTCAAGAAGTCTTTGGTCTAATTATGATGGAATAAAGATAGAGCTTTGTAACTAGACACACATACGTTCATTTCTCTACATAGTCACCATGCAGAGTAATCCATTTCTGCCTCCTCTCTTTGACCTTCAAAAGTCCTTGAGAAAAAAAAATTACCCAGAATGGGCCCCTAACTAGTCTTCCACAGCTTCAATGGCATCCTCGTAGTCATGGAAATGACACCCTTTCAGTGATTTTTCAAGATTAGGAAACAGAAAAAAGTCTGAAGGGGTTAGGTCTGGTGAACAAGCTGGGTGTGGCAGGATTTCAAAGCCGCACTGTTCTGCTGTCTGGACTGTTTGTTGCGCCCTGTGCGCAGGGGCGTTGTCATGCAGTAGGAGCTAGGACCCCATTACGGAGTTTGTTTTCCATGCCTTTTTCTCACCAGCTCGGACCGCAGTTTTTTCAGCAAACCGGAATAGTAGTCATCTGTGACTATTTTTCCATTTTCCAGGTAGTCAGTCATGATGATACTTTCACAATCACACAAACACGACAGCATGACCTTTTCACTTGGCGGTGTTACCTTTGCCTTCTTTGGTGAGGCAGAAGAAGGGGTTTTCCTTTGCATAGAGGACATTTTTTGTTCTGGATCAAATTGATAAATCCATGTTTCCTCCATAGTCACCATGTTTTTAAAGAAATTTGTGTCATTGGACTCAATTTGAAGGAGAGTTTTACAGGACTCAACCCTCTGCTTCTTTTGCTCACTTGTCAAAAGGCAGGACCGTGCAGACACCTTATTCATGTTAAGATGGTCATGGAGAATAGTTTTAATTGACCCTACACTGATTCCCGTTTCACTTGAGAGCTGTTTAACAGTTACACATCGGTCTTGTAAACCCAGTTTCTTTACTATGGATACATTCTCTTCAGTTTCAACAAAGGATGGGCGCGCTTCACGATCTTCATCCATCACTGACATGAATCCAGATTTGAATTTTCTTACCCAGTATGTCACAGTATTATAACGAGGACATTCGTAACAATTAACTTGGACCATTTCCTGAAAAACGTCCGAAAGGGATTTTCCTTGCAAGTGTAAAAACTTGATAACTGAGCGATATTCAACAGGATCCATGACACAGCTTCAGCAAAGAAAAACCAAAAGTTTTTTTAGCATAGTTTCATTGAACACGCTGACTCGTGCCTTATCATTGTTGGATTTTCCAGAAAAATTGGCAAGGTGTGTACCAAAGAAATTGTCTAAAGGCTGGCGAAATTTATTTACTCTACCATGATTAGTTCATACCCAGACTAAAGACTTATTGACCCCCCCCCGTATAAATAGGTGAGGCAGTGCGGTGAAATCAGGCGCTCGTTAAAATAATGAAACTGAAGAAACTGGCATTTTAAAAATAAAACTTTTGGGTTTTTTGGCATAACACCATTGTTGTCTAATTAAGAACACATTTCCGGGTGAATTTTACTAAAAAATTTTGATTAAAGGAAAAAATGTTGATTAAAGGAACAAAAAAAGTAAATGTTCAGTTTCCAAGGACTCTTAGGCTATTATAAAAGTTACCAAACTTTGGTGGCCATTTTCTTGCTAATTTTACCTCTGAAAACCGGCGACCCTGCTCCTTCAACCACAAATATTATGACTTCTATTCAACATAAATGGATATTTTTTTTCACTAAAAGGAAGGCAA